TGAGAACTTATTAGGGATGCTGTTAAAGATCCCAATCAGATGAACTTTAAGGCCCTTTTAGCCTGCAGATCAGTGTCCTGTATCTAGAGTTACCTATTTACACAGATGGAGAACAGATGTCTTGGTTTGAAGGGCAGCCATTTGGATCCACAGCACCATGCTCTACACTATAGGGCTGGAAATTCCAGAACTGGATGGATAAAGCCATTTCCATTTCTTGCTTGAACAAAAGCTGGGAGGTTAGGCAAATAGAAATCAGTAGTGGGATCTTTGTCTTCTCACACGTATGGGGAGCTGTACTCTGTGGGTCTGGATGGAATTTGTTGGCACGACCATTTCTGTGGATATTCATCCCCAAAGGCTTTCTGCCTCGATGGTCTGGGCCTAGAGATGGGTTTGCCCAGGCGAAGGGAAGCAATGAGCCAAAGAGAATCAGGTTAAATGGATGAGGGCCCTTATTTTACACCTAGAGACTAAAGCTCGGAAAGGAAAACACACTTGTTCAAAGTCAGGCAGGAAGTCATAGCAGAGCTGTTGACCCTGGAGTGTTGTGATTCCTGGACCACAGACACGCCCCTGCATCATTATTTTAAAAAGCAGTTACAGTATTCAGTAAATTGGAGTCCGCCTTTGTGGTTGGCATATGTCAGGGGGTTATGGCTTTTTGCTCAGGTGACTCACGTCGACAATCTGCATCATCCCTATGATCTCATGACAGGTTAAAACTCAAGTGTGCACACAAATGTGCATAAAATCACACACAAACATGCATGCACACATACACACATCAGGCCACACTAAATCCATGGGCATATTAGGGCATCTTAAAACTCCATGATTTACATTTCAGCAATTTAAGGGGAAGACGTTTTCCAGGAATGGACTCTCCCATGCTCAGATAACCGTTTGGGCTGGAAATTTTCTTTTAGCTCAACTCTGCCTCAGGAAGAATCCATTATTCTGGACATTACGTGATATATCTATTTGGAATAAAAATGGTGCTTACCTTCTTCCCTGGGATGTGGGAGAAGGTGTGCGAGGTTGTACTGTGAAGTCATGAAGCTCTTAGAAGGCTCCTGCCTGAGAGAGCCCAGTATTATCGACGTTCCTTTCCTTCCTCCAGGCCTGGGGCACTGTGTCCTGCTGCTCTGGGCGGGTCCCAGGTAGGTGGACTTGTCATCCTGGCCTGTAAGCCATACTTGATTTCTGCATTGATTTACGTGTTCTTACTGTGATCTTGGTTCCAAATGCAGAATTATCACCCTCTTCTCACTGAATGTGCCTTATCTTTGTAAATTCTAATTTACATACTTGTTCTCAGGATTGTGTGTATGTGAGACTCAAGAAAGAAGCATACATAGAGTTAAGGACATTTTAGTGTCATTGAAGAAATGTTTTATGATTTCTAATAAATATTTATTTTGCCTTGTTATAATTGTGTTTTATACTTGTTTTGAGTGTGCTGATATAAAGACCTACTAGAAATCCTGGGGTGTTGCTTAGTATGAGTGGATAAAGGGAAGGCCACCTTTTGGACCTGAAGCATTGTTATTGGTCCCAGCTCAGGGACAGAGCCAGGACAATAAAACATGTCATCTCTCTACAGTGTCTACCGCTCAGAGTACATGTGCCTCCAGTACCCCACTGAAACCACTCAACAGCTCTGGAAGGAGTTTGAGTAAAATGACACTCAGGGTGTTGAATGACATACCCAAGGAATCACAGCCAGAAAATGTTAGCGGTTCAAGGCTTCTGACCACCCCTCCCCAAGCCATGCTCTGTCCATCACGCCCTGCTGCTTCCCTCACTGGCTCTCAACTTATTTTGCAAGGATATAAAACCATGGCTCCACCTGGAGACCAGAAAGTATGGGTCCCTCCTTCCTACCTCCCAGGACCTCTGTGAGGAGGCAATGAGGGAGGGGATGGATATGAAAGAGCTGATGTCACTGCCATCGTTGTTGCCCAGCTCACAGGCATATATGCACTTTTTCATTCTTTTGTGTTATTTCATAAAGATGACAGTTCTCAACTCAAATGCCAAGACGCTACTGTGTCTTGATAGGTCGCAGAACTTCCAAACAATTTATTAATAAGTGATATGCTGCATTTGGTGAATTATTTACTTAATTCGAATTATTCCCAGGATAACACCTTTCAAAGGGATGTGTCGTCTTTAGTGGCAAGAAGTGGGAATTGTACATAATCCACGTCCTAGATCAAATAGGCTTTAGCCTATAATCTGGAAATGGAATGTGCCATCTGTGGGCATGTTCTGGATGGATAAAAAAGGGTGGAAACCCCCGTGACAGGATATATTCTGAAAGTGTGATGCCTAAATCAATGATGTGAACACTTTTATGGCTCTCGACATCGTGAAAAATTACCTTCAAAAGGTATTTTGCAATTTTTCCAGCCTTTGACATTTGTATGATTCCTGTTTATAAAACTCTTCCATTCATATTGGTTATCTTAACAGTTTTGTATGTTTGGTAAGTATTATATCCCCATTTAGTAAGTGGAGAAATTAAGACCTAGAGAGAGAGAGAACGACAGGTAAAGGTCACTGCTTTTTCCTGGGCAAAGGATCCAGGTTCTCTGATGTTTACCGGTAAGTGCTGGTCTAGTAGCGTCAGTGAGCTTGGGTAACAGAGTGGCCTAGCCTAGCCTAGTCACATTTAAGAATAAATGTCATCACCCTGGCCAGTGCGGCTCAGATGGTTGGAAGATCATCCGGTGCACCAAAGGGTCGCGGGTTCGATTCCCAGTCAGGGCACATACCCAGGTTTCCAGTTTGATCCCCAGTTGGGGAGCACAGAGGAGGCGACTGGTGTTTCTCTCTCGCATCGGTGCTTTTCTCTTTCTCTCTCTCCCCCTTTCATCTCTCTTTCCTCTCTCTTTCCTCTCTCTTTAAAATCAATTGGAAAAAAAAGAATAAGTGTCATCCAGGTAAAGGGAGTGAGGGGGGAGATAGGGTTTCAAGAAGAGGGAGCAACGTGGACAAAGACTGCAGGGTAGTGGGGAGCTCGGCGGAGAGGCGGGCAGAGGCCGGAACACGGGGACCTGCCCGCTGTGGTGAGGCTTTGAGATTTCCCATCAAGGGCTAGGGAAAGCCACTAAAAGTTTTTATACGGGTCGGGTCGGGGGGCGGGGATCGAGTGTGAACGTTTTTCTGTTTTTGTCTGGGTTGTAGGCTTAAAAGGGGGTATTTTCCCCCTGCCACTCTTTGGGACAAAGTAACAGTCTGCAGAGTGTGGAATGGAGGGGATTTCACTTGGGAGGTGGGAGCAGTCGGGAAGTGACTGGGAAAGAAAAGGAGGCAAGGAGAAGGCAGGGACACGGGCGGGACAGGGAGACTGCCGTAGAGGAGGAATGTCCCAGCAAACTCACTCATTCAACTGCGCTTCATCTGGCACTTACTAGACTGCGCCCGCCGAAAAGGACGCGGGCATAACCTAGAGATGGGGTGGGAGCAGAGGGGCAGAGGGCAAGCCAGGAAGGCTTTATGGGTGAAATGGGAGTTGAGCTGCATTTTAAAGGAAAAATAAGAATTAGCTAGAGTGAGGTCTGAGCGGGAGGGGGGTGGAGGAAGAAATTTCGAGGTGGAAGGACCAGTCTGTGTGCAGGAATGCACAAATAAGTGACACAAAGCGGACTGGAACAGAGAGGACCCGAAGGGAGACGAGTCTAGAGGGATGGTGGGGGAAGGAGGGGGTGATCAGAAAGGGCCTTTGTGTTAGATATCTGAGCTTGAATAATATATTATTCTGTGCTAGGCACTGGCTAAGTGCTTATATGCATTAGCTCACATATTCTTCACAAGGATCCCATGAGAGGGGCACTGTTATTATGATCATCCCCATTTCATAAATGAGAAAACCGAGTCTGTAGACTTAGAAATAATCCAAATACAATAAAACTAAAAGTGGCTAAAGCCACACAGCAATATGTTATAGATTTTTTTAAAAATCACATCTAATTAGAAACTCTGAAGACTAACATTGAGTCATTAACGTTAGAAACACTGAGTCAGAAAATTAGACTTGATGGAAAAAGTCGGTACAAACACGGAAACCACAGTGGCTTACATTGAACCTTGTAAATTTTACAAGTAACTAAAATTTGAAGGAAGAATAAGATATTCTTGCTAAATTTACACTCGGAAACAAATGGACCCAGGAAAATAGGACTCAGACATAAAACACAAAGGAACATTCACAGTGGGGGTAGGAAGCTTGGTAAAACTGTTATGTACAAAATGATGACTGGTAAATTGAAGTTTTACTAAAGAATTCAGAAGGGAGAGAGTTTATTCCAGTGAAAATGATTTTATTAAAGTCCAAAAATAAATGCTGAAAAAATTAAAGATCGTGCTCCATAAGGAATGAAATTGGCTTAATGGAACTTGCTCTGGAAGAATGAATGTGTTTATATATATATGTTCCACATAATGTTAGTATGATTTTGGTAAATACATTGAAGACCATAACCATGGGTTCCTTGGGGTCCAAATCATGGGGTAAAAATGCTCTTTCCTTGGCTGCTGTGACTAAGGCAGGAGAGAGGGGAGGCTCTTGCAGGGGCTGGAGCGGGAAGGAGGCAGCATTTCAGCCTGAGGACCTTTGAAGAATCATGGGAGGTGAGGGACGTGGGCATTTAGGACACGGACAGTTTCTTGAAAGAATGCATTTACCAACCAGAGACAGGGGTCTGGGCACCTTTCCACTCGTGTCCACTGCTTTCTGCCATTTTCGTCTTTGCCACTTATGCTGTGGGAACCCAAAGCCTCCTCAAATGCTGGTTTCGAATGAGGGTGAGTGCATGCTTCCCAAAGAAGTGACAGCTGTGAGGAATGTGCCTCTTTCAACTTTCTGAAGCTGGGAAGGAGCCTTAGCTTCTCAAGGGGCATGTGAGACATCTGAAAGGGGCTCTCCTCCCCTGAGGGCAGCGCAGAGCAAGTGGATGATGCTTTGTGCGGGTGACTCTGTCTGCGGACAAAGGACCATTCAGAGTTTTTTTTATTTATTCATAACATCACCTTCACAACCGGCCTTCATTTCTCATTCACATTTCATCTTCAAAAGAGCATTTAGAAATCTCTCATGGATATCACAACTCTTGCTAAGGCTCATAGGCTGGACACTGAATACATTTCATTCATTCAACTATGAAAAATTTAAAAACAGTAAGTCTGCATCATTGATTTCTAGTAGCATTATACACTACTTGAAAACATTTAACTCTATGCTCAAGTTAATCACTTTTTGTATATAGTATCTATTTCAATTAAAAATGTGAATTTAAAAATTATTAGGAATGTTAAACTATCAAAGTATAAAAAGCTATACAGAAATAAGAAATATGCTTCTCTGAATAAGCTATGTACACAGTATGATACCTTTAAAAGACATTCATTAATTCATTCGAGAATTTGCCTAAATGCCCGCCATGTGCAAGGCACCGAAGCAGGTGCTGTGGATCTGAATAAGGCACATTAACTCAGGCACAGTCCTGCCCTTTGGGGGCTTACAGACTAGTAGAGTTTTTCAAGATACTGTATGACAAGTGAACCAGAAGTGTTTTCTAATGTAAAGAGGAGCGAACACTTTTTGCGCTGAGTGTGAGTATAGTCGTCTTTGCAAAAGCTTCTTTCTTTTCATAATATGCGGCCTCATTTACAAACACCGGGTACACAGTACAGTCTCCACCCAATGGAACAGTCTTTCCATCAAGCGTTAAAAACACAGGATCCCCAGGGTGCAGTGGTTTCCAGTCTTGATCCTCTCAGGAAACAATTAAAATACATAAATTACATTTACTTTCTCTCATACTTTAAAAATTTTATGTGAGGCTGTAGACAACTAAAACATCATAGCACTGGATTCTTTCAAAAGAGATACTTGAGAGATATGATGAGAGCATATTAGTGATCTGACTAAAGTTAGACTGAGTAGGAATTTGGCCATAGTTTTAAGTTTCCCTTTTAATATTTATAACTGACACATGTAATTAGTTTGCATCAATACCGAGTTTGTCTTGAATGTTGCCAAATAGATTTGTAACATTAAAAGGCAGAACTCAATGACTGTCTCCCTTGGAGTATATTCTACCTCTTGCTGGCTGAAGTTAAACTCTGTTAAGCAGAACTATCCATTAACAGCCTTCTGTGTGCAAGGCATGATGCTGTCGGGGATACAGCAATGAGTAATGCTGTGCCTGCATACGAGGAGATCTCTCCTGATGGGGACTGGTGAGAGGAGGTGGGGCGGGCTGGGAGGAGTCCAAGACAAGGTGGGTGTTTTTCATACGTGTCCCTGCATTATGATAATGAGTTTTTTGAGCGGTCCTATGCCAGCAATTTGGAACTTTGAGCTCTCAAACACCAATGTTGTCACACCACAGGAAGGCTGAGAGCAGATCTTCCCAAACTTTGATATGATTGAGAATCATGCAGGAATTTTGTTAAAATGCAGATTCTGATCCCACAGGTCTGGGGTAGGGGCCAAGAGTTTGCATATCGAACATTTCCCAGCAGCAGCAGCACTGAGCAGCCATTAGAAAAGCAGAATTCACTGGGGAGAGGGATGGGACAGGGTGGAATGGGACATTGGGGAGAAAAAGGGACATCTGTAATATTTCAAACAAAAATAAAATTTAAAAAAAAAAGGAAAAAAAAGAAAAGCAGAATTCCATTCCCCACTCAGACCTCCTAAGTCAAGATCTTCATGTTAACAAATCCCTGGAGATTCATGTGCATGACATTAAAGTTTGAGAAGTGCTGCCTTACAGCAATTTCCTCAGTCCCAGTTGCACGTTGTTATTACCTGGGATGTTTCAAAAATACAGAGGAGTAAAGGAACTGGCCCCATCTCAGATACAGCAAATCAAGTCTCAAGAGTGGGGCTCAGGAATCATTTAAAAAAAATTAAATACAGAAAAGTGCATTCATTTTTGTGTATAGTTCTGTTATAGACAGATAGACGTGAGCAGAGCAAGGACGATGGGCCAGGTACAGAAATTCACCAGGGCAGAAAGCCCAACAAGGGGCAAACTGGGAAAACAAGAATCTGGCCCCCTGAGTAACCTTTCTCCCCTAGCATGTCACTGGTCCTGAGGTTTAGACCCTTCCCCATCTTTTCCTCCTTAAAGATAACATCTAGGCCTCAGCTGTATTTCAGCTCCAGGCCCAGAAAAGCAGCAAAACCAAAGTATTGCAGTGGCTGCCTCAGGACCAGCTGCATTGACTAAGGACCCCCTGCCCTGGCACCAACCAATCAGTGGAGACCACGACCCTGAAGAGTACACCTGGAAAACTGATGAATATTTTATTGAGACCCTCCCCTGAGGCCTCCCCTAAGATTCCTGCCTGCAAGAGAGAGATAAAAACCCTCAACACAGAGAACCCAGCATGTGCTCTCCCTCTGGGGAGCCTGCCCACACCATTCCCTTCTCCCCTTCTTCCTTCTAAGGGACCCCATAAGACTTGCAACCAGGGAAGCAATGAGCAGTGGCAGCTTGCCCCGGGCTAACCCTCTGAACCTGTCTCCAAGGCCCCCTTTTCTCTGACTTCCCAGGGAGCCAGAGCAGCCCAGCCTAGGCTCTCCTACTGCTTTTTCTATCCTAAGCCCTTCCTGGTTTCACTGTCTTAAGTGTGTTTTTGCTGTGGCCAATAAATTCTTGCTTGCTTTGCTGTGTTTTGTCTCTTGATTGAAATCTTTCCTTCAAGAGGACAAGAACCGAGGTCTGATTGTCTCACCGGTAATAGTTCCATAAGTTTTGACAAGTGCACGGCATAGGGTCATATAACCACATACCCATGTAATCAAGACACATACTTCTATAACGAGCTTTCCCCAGTCCTCATGCTATTCATTTATAGTTCACTGTTTTTCTTTACTTTTTAAAAAAGCCCCAGGCGATTCTACAGGACAGCATGGCTGAGAACTACTGCTCTGGACCAGTGGTTTTCAGTTAGAGACATGCCCCAGAATTACTAAAGGGACTTCTCTAACACACCCCTGCCTAGCCCCACCTGCAGAGGCTCTAATGTAGTGCAGTGCTACCCAAATCTGAGCCACAGGAAAATCAGCTGGTGAACCTTGCTGATTTCCTGTCTCCACTTTGATGGATTAAACCAGGATCTCTGGGGACCTAGGGATCAGGATTTTAAAAGCTCCTCAAGTGATTCTCCCATGGACTGAGTTCGAGAAGCACTGTTTTAGTGCTTTTTGGATGGGCTCCAGATATTTGGGGGGACATTCCCTAGGTAATTCCAGTGAACATCCCTGATTAAGAACCATCATTCTTAGAACAAAATCTGAATGCATGACCAGGTCCCTGCCTGTGTCTCTGGCTCCAGGGTCTGCTGTCTTTTCTGTTCATTCCATTTTCTCTGTTGACACTGGTCTTCCTCAAACACTTCAAGTTCCTTTCAGCCTCAGGGCCTTTGCACTTGTTCTCAACATGGCTAACTTTCCATCTCCCAGGCTCCAGCTTTAATGCCTTTGACTCTGAGATGGCATTTTCTGACAACTCCGTTGAATAGGAACCCTTTGTTAACCTTCACTCTGTTGCTTTGTTTAATTGTTATAGCACTTATTACAATTTGAGATGATCTAGTTTATGTGTTGCTCCATGAGGGACTTTGTCTATCTTGAATCCCAGGGCCCAGGAGAGGCTTGGCCTGAAACATTTCAATTACTTATTGAAATAATTAACCAATCGATCCCTCCTGAAGAATACTGAGCCATTCCTTATTGTCTATCAAATCAAAACCACCCTTTCTGACTCAAGACCTACCATGAACCTTGTTCCTTACTGATCTCATTAGTCTCACTTCTCCACCTCCCCAGGATGACTTCTGTGCTCCTCAAGGATCTTCGAGGAACGTAAAACTTAAAAAAATCCTGCGTTGCAGCCGGTTATGATGTCATCACCTTGGCTCTGTTGGTTGCTCTTGCTGTTTTTGTTTCCTGTAGTGCCTTCCTCTCCCCACCCCCAATCTTTCTTTTCAAACATAGCCTAAAGCTCCTCCTTCAGGTTTCCACCTGGATCCACCAAGATGCAAGCAGGATTTGCCTCACTAGTCTGTATTTTGGGGCAGCTACTTTATTCAGTTTTAAGTCTGGAGGACTATTATTAGGGTCTTTAATTGGAGCTTGAGCTGGATCAGTGGTTTTCCACACTGGTCACCCAGGCCCAGCATCAGATTGTCTCACATGGGGTCCTGACATTGTTCTTTTGAAAAAGGCTCCCTAGCAACGTGCAGCAGGGCTGAGAGCCCCGATGAGGTTATCCACCAGGTCTCTTCCGTCTCTGAGGCTTGAGGGCGTGCAGGGTACTCTCAGTGGGAACAGACGTTTTCGCTCTTTGGAATCTGCTCCTCCTGCTTTTACCTTTGCCTTTTCCAGATTCAAACCTCCTACATTCTCCCAAGAGCCTTTTCTCCCTCTTTCGCTATGCCATTATGGATCGAACCAGAGAAGCAGCGGATATGAGGGACCCGAGGAGAGTCAGGAAACATTTCAAAGAAAGAGGCTTGGACTGTTTTGCTCTCACTCTCTCAGTGGTGACCACAGGGGTAGCAGCAGTACGGTGAACCACAGAGAACATCAGCTCTGGATCTGCCACTGGCACTCTATGCCTATGGGAGGGATCTAACTTCCGAGCCTCTGCTTTCTTATGTTAGAAGAAATATAAAAATTCCTACCTATTGCCCTTGGGCAGAATTTTACCTTCCCTGAGAGCCCTCATCTGAGCACCTCTCCCTGCCTCATTAATCTCCTACAGCATCTGGTTATCCTCCTTTTTAAACTAGCCTTTAGACGTTAGTATATGTAGACCACGACTGCCGCAAGAGTACAGACCACGTTCAACGGCATATCCTAGAGCCAGCACGGGGCACACCTTGCCTAGGCCACAGCGTGCTGGGGAATACGACGAGTGAGCCGGCGAACATGAGGTGCTGTACGGACTAAAGAAACAGCAGATGTTACCTGCAGATTAGGGTGGATAACAGCAGCAACTTCTCCATTTTCATTCCTGGGATAATCAACTTTCTCCATTATTTTATAGACCTCAATGGCACAAGGAGGAAATTCTTTTCCTGTGGCACAAACAGAATGTATGAGTAGCAGCTGGAAAAAGGAAGTTCACACTGTCAGGGAAGGACAGCCACCCAAAAGCGAAGACACAGTTGTGGACGGAATGGCGACTATAAGGAGGTCAAGGAAGACCTTCATGGGGGAGCGCAGGGTTTCAGTTAAGGATGTTCGTAAATGACACTAAGCCACAAGACCACGTTCTTGAATTGTTTCTGTCAACACACTGTTCACGAGGACACCGATGGGCAGCGGAAGAAAAGAGAACTTAAGAAGCCAGTGTGAGAGAAAAAGAGCCTGGGGCTGGGAGTCAGGACCCCGGGCCTCTACTCTCCTAGCTGTGTGAGCCTGAGCAAGAGGCTTAACTTCGTTACCTGTCAAACAAAGGTTTGAATCAGCCAGTCTCGGAGCCCCCGTCCGGCTCTGACGTTCTATGGTTGCAGATCCTCTGGAGACTTCCAGCGGGCTAGCGTCATGCCCCTTCTCTGAACTAAGCACACTAAGCACTTGGACAGACCTCGGGAGGCAGGCAGCCTGCCAACAGTGGAGTCTAACTTCCAAAGCTGCAGCAACATGAGCAACCCAATGCCCAGAAACTTGAAAAAGGAGTAGTTTACATGCATACCAGGTAATCTCTGAGCAAACAGGATGAACTTTCATTAAATGTAGGGCCCGTAGTGTGCCATGGCTGCAACTCAAAGGGAATCCTTCCTTTGACCTTAGAGCAGAAAGTACAGCCAGGGTTGGAAGGCGGATATCCTGTGGTCACTTCCATATCAGTTAGATTTGGCTGCATAACACTGACCTACAACTTAGTGGCATAGAGCCATGGCCCTTTAATGTGTCTCATGATGCTGTGGGCTGGTTGGGCAGGTCCTCTGGTTTAGGCTGGCTTGGCTGATTTCTAAGTGGCTTGCTCGTGCACGTGTGGTGAGCTGGCAGGTCAGCTGGAGGCTAGATGATCTAAGATGGCCTTACTCTCGTGTCTGGTATTTGACAGGCTGTTAGCTGGAGCCGCAGGGCTACTGGCTAGTGTGTCAGAGTCCTCCGCCTCGTAGCTTCCCATTATCCGGAAGAAATGGGTAGACTGATTCACATAATGGCAATACAGGGTTCCCAAGGGCAACAAGAGGGCAAGCTCCAAGGTGCAAGTCCTTCTCAAGCCTCTTCTGTGACACAAAACAAGTCACGTGGCCAAGACAAATCCAAGGGGTAGAGAAATAGACTTCATCTCTTGGTAGAAGGATTTAAAACATCACATTGCAAAGACATGGATGCAGGGCAGGAAAGAATTTGTGGCCATTTTTATAATCTACCAAACCTGCCAAAGTGAAGATGGAAACTTATCAGATGTGATCTTTTTAAACCAGAAGCTCCACTGGGAGGAAAGGAAAAAGTGATAGGACACAAAGGAGTATGTTTTTGCTACTTAGAATCTCATAATTGGAAGGAGCCTTGAATGCCTGACTTCATCAATGCTTGAGTAGTCTCTATATCTCTCTGGCCCAGTGGTCATCTTACTCCTGCTTGAACAGCCTCACAAAGTGTGGTCCATTCCACTGTTGGTTAGCTTTGTTAATTGGAAATTTCTGTCTCTAGTTAACTTGGTCCCACCAATTCTATTCTGCCCTGAGTCACAGAAAACGTGTCTAATTGCTTTCCAATATAATACTTCTGAAACTCTAAAATAAAACTGCCCTTGCCTGGCTGGCGTGGCTCAGTGGTTGAGTGTCGACCCATGAACCAGGAGGTCATGGTTCGATTCCGGATCAGGGCACAAGCCCAGGTTTCANACTGCCCTTGCCTGGCTGGCGTGGCTCAGTGGTTGAGTGTCGACCCATGAACCAGGAGGTCATGGTTCGATTCCGGATCAGGGCTCAATCCCCAGTAGGGGGCGGGCAAGAGGCAGCCGATCAATGACTCTCATCATTGATGTTTTTCTCTCTCCCTTCCTCTTCCTCTCTCTGAAGTCAATAAAAACATATTAAAAAAATAAAATAAAATCACCCTTAAGCCTTCTTTTGGCCAGTCTAAGTATTCTTAGTTCTATCAATCACCACTCATATGTGGCACATCCCTGAGGCTGTATGTGAAAGCGCTTTGTAAACTGAAGTTCTATATGCATGTGAGGGATTACTCTCATCATGGCTTTCAAACTCAGCAACATTCTCAACTCTCTCCTTGACTAACCCCTACTTTATAGATGTTCCTCCTGAAGTGTGGACTCAGAATTTACTCACAGTTCTCCAAGTGTTGTTTATCCAAGGCAGAAAAGAGACCATCACCTCCTTCATTTGGGGATTTTTTAAAACATAAAAGCAAAACTTTGTTCCTGATGTACTTAACCTAAAATAGTTGATTTAGACAATTGCTAAAGATTGTCAGGACTTTCTGGATCCACCTCCTGAGACGCTGTTTTCCTGCAGGCTTCCTGCCGCCTATCACTTATGTAAAAGCATGTCGCTTATTTCCTCAGCCAAGTCACTGATGATACTTTTGAGTAGCACAGAGCCAAGGATGGAGCTCTTCTTCACATCTCCAGAGACTTTTCTCTAGGTGGTTATCATCAGCATTCTTTGGGTAATGGTGCTCTTTCCATGTTAGGTAAAAAACCACCAAGCTGGATGGTCTAAATTAATAATGGTTTGAAATGTTCAAATTACAGAATCCTTTGCTTGAAAGAAATGTTACATGGAAGAGCAATAGAACAGATAGAAGAGCTGCTCTGGTTAAAGGTGGGGAGTGTTGGCTGTCCTGAAGCTACCAGGACAACTACTAGATCCCCACCCACCGTGGGAGGAATCTATGGAGTATGATTTGAAAACCGTTTTTCCACTCAGGTTTGTGGCTTTCTACTCTGGTGCACCATTTTTTAACATGTTGTAGTCCCACACTTACTATTTGAAGGGTTTCTTGTGAATAAGTGGTGACCTTCCCAGTACCAGGCCCATAAGACAGTATCGTGGTGACGGCTGATTTTCAGTCTTTATTACTTTGGAGTCAAGGATTCACAAGCACAAAGATTCCTGTGACTGCAGTAAGGTATAATTATACATCCCACGGACACTGAACTACTCACCAGCTTTGTCACTTTGATGACCCATTCCTCAACAATTTAAATTCAGCCTGTGGAATTATCTACGTAGGCTGTTTTTTATTTTATTTTACTTTTATTATAACTTTAAAAAATTGAAAGTAAACTTATTTTTTAAATAATAGACTTTATTTTTTGCTGCAGTTTTAGATTTACTGAATAAAATGAGCAGGCAGTACATAGAATTCCATATATCTACCAATTAATTATTTCTTAATTACATGCAATACATGAATACATAATTCTTCTTGAAAACAATTAAAACAAATTTAACCTGTTTTTTCCCTCCCCTTCTCAATAATTGCTCTTATCAGTTTGGTGTGTTTTCTTCTAGGACTTTTCCTGTACACTAACATATGTATGTATATGTATTCTAGCAAGTATTTTTTATTATTATTATTATTATTATTATTATTATTTTGAGGAAATTGGTATACTGCATGTTTTGGCCTGCAACTTCCTTTCTTTAATTAACTGTATTTTGAAGCTCTTTCCATGTTAGTTTAACCGTTTACCAGCGGATGGATATTCAAGTTGTTTCTGTTATTTTGTCGTCACAAACAATGCTGTGGGAACCACCCTTGCATACGACACAATGGGTGTGCATGTGTTTTTGCTTTTTTGAGATGTGGAATTGCTGGGTCATAGGGTTTGTGCATTTTCAAAAGTGGGCACTGTAAAAGTATTCTCTGCCATGTCTTTACTGTCCCCTTTCCCACCCCTTTACCAATGCAATGACATCAGATTTTAATATTTTCCTATGCTACTCAGAGAAAATGGTTTCTCAACTTAATTTGCATTTCTCTAATTACTAGTGATATTGGACATCTTTTCATATGTTTATTGGACATCTAGATTTCCTACTGTATCTTTGTCTTTTTGAAATGGAGACTGGCAGGGAAATGAGGACTTTAACTGGAGAACTTTAACTGGTAGCAGCTTTTCCTGAATGTGTCTATTTTGGTTCTGGAGGAATGGCTGGAGTGGAGGAACTTTTTAAAAGCACCTAATATCCAGAGCATGGCAAATCTGACCTAGGCTGCAACTGCTATTTCAGTGTTTAGTGGTGAAGTTACCATGTGTGTTCATCTCTTTTCTGATATATTTGCACAACACACACACACACAGGCTAACAAGGTAACAATTCCCGCCTAGTACTTACCCTCATTGAAATTATGTATAAAATCAAGAGCATGTTTAATCATTTTTCTCATTTGATCCAAAATATCAGCTCTCAGAACCCCTTGAGGCTGGGGACCAACTTCTATACCTAGGTGCAGAACCAGCAACAGTCACATTTATTAAGTATTAGGATATATTATAAAATTAAGTGTTTAAATATATCAAGATCTAGAATCCCATCACTTAAATTTGGTAAAAAGTTAGACCATTTAGCATCATGAAAAATATTTGAGACATAATGTTGGGCAAAAAATAAGCAGAACATTTACATGCATAAGCTATATGCATAGCTTATGCATAGCTTATGCATGAAGACTGGAAGAGAACATGAGAAAATCAGAGTTGTGTTAGAGTTGCAAGATCTTGGGGTCTTTTTTTTCTTTATATTTCATTCAATATTATCAAAAATTTTTAATCATAATATAGTAAAAGGGGCAGACATATACATACTGAAAAGAAAACGCTGTCAAACATATCAGTAGATACGTATTCTAGCTAAGAGAAGCACTGCCCCACAAACATCATCGATCAAGATTGTTCTTTCAAAGTGTGGAAATCATATGTTTTATTTGGTGTCACAGAGAAACAGGATCTCTATCCCTTATCGTTAAGCATTTGGTTTGTTTCAAATAATTACTTAGACTTGGATATTTAGCTTGTTCCAATCGATCCCTTGATTATACACCAAAAGTGTCAATAATTGAGTGAGCAAAATAATTTTAAATTTGCTTACATTGTTTGACAACTTGTTTTTAAATTAACTTGCTCTTGGTGAAACCATCTGTAATCTAACAAAAAACATTTGGATTTGTGACAGCAATTTTAATGATTTCAGTGTAGTCTGACAACAATGACGTTAATAGGTCACTTAGGAAAGAGAAGGGTATAGAGAGAGAAGAGACTGTCTGTGTGAGAGGGAGTATGAGGGTGCATGCTTGCATGTTAAAGGTTCCAGAAAGTAAAGGTGAGTTCACAGCCCAGTAACTAATAGGGCAAACAAGTGAATGGATAATAGTGTATGGGAGACTGGTGCAGAGAAGGGGCTAAGTGGGATGTTGAAAGAGGATTTTCCATGGATCTTTTGTGTTTCTGCATATCTTGCCAGCAAGCCACTGACTGCCTTGGTTCCAAATTATTTTTCAAGAGTGTTGGTATAGTGAACAGTATTGAAAGATAGGGATGATGTCCTCCTTGGAGCAAAAGGCAGCCATGTTTATTGTACATTTTAAAAGATTCAGGTTCCCTCAGTGCATTGTTTCTCTCATGGAATGCAGGAAGCTGCTCAATGAGATTGAGGAAACTTTATATAGTTTGAGCCTACCAGGAGTTAGTTTGCTTGTTACTTGACAATTATAAGCCACAGTGATGAGTGAGGTAGCTATAAATATTCTTAAAAATAATTTTCTCAGAGTTTCATCTAGGACATATTTTGTTTGGTTGTGACAATGGGAAACATGACTTACCAACAGGATACTTGGCTATAGAACGAGTGGTTGCATATTTGAGGGAAGGATGCTCAATAAGATAAACGTAGCAGGGTAATGGAGCCAAAGAAGTCTGAAATTAATTGAAAACATCTTTCTCATTATGTCAAGACCATATGCTTTGTTCTCTTTGCTGCTCGAGAGTCAATAATGACTTCAATATGTTTTACTCTATCAACTAAGATGAGTAAGACAGCTTTATGAAACACACTCTAAAATCCAATGTTGTTATTAAAGCTTTGAAATCATATGAATAAACTATATATAAACTGAATTATACATAGCCTCCTGGGTAAAATGTACATTAAATTCTCAAGAACCATGATTGAAGAATATGAAATACATTTTCCTTCTGAATGGATTTGGTTACTTCTTTTATCAGCAGGGGTTGCACTTACTATTTAGCTTAGTACTGCTCTTTTTTGTTGTTGTTGTTGTTATCAATTAGTATTTATTTGGGCACCACATGAGAAAAGGGCAATAAATTAATACATATAACAGATTGCAATATGAAGTTTCACTATAGTTTAAAGGACTGTAGTTTCTAATAGAAGCTATGATTTTAGGTTTTAATATTTTTGTTGTAAAAGTACTGTAGCCCACCATCCGCAGTTTCACTTTCCAGTTTGTTTCCCATAGAGTCAGCTGCAGTCTGAAAGTATTAAGTGGAAAAATTCCAGAAATAAACAATTCATAAGTTTTAAATTGCATGCCATTCTGAGTAGCATGATGAAATCTCGCCTTGTACCACCTGGGACATGAATTAACCCTCTTAAAGAATTCTGCTTCTACCCCTGTGCTCCGGGTCCCTGCAGATGTTGAGTAACTCCTCCTACCTCCACTTATGTGAATGAGAATTCAAGACGGGCCTCTCAGTGTGGGTAACAATGTCAGCTGTGCTGCCCCAGGCCTTGCAACCAAAGCTTTCCGCTTTCCTTCAATGAGCAACGAAGACTAAGCTAGATTATGATCTCCTACCTCGACTATCTAGTTATTTTGTCAAAAACTCAAAGGAAACAAAAATAATAGTTAATCATTACTGTCTGCTAGGTATTAAACTAAATGCTTTCAATACTTTGTCGCACTTAAGGTTTTTAACAGCCATATAAGTAAATGTTACTATGTCAACTTTATAAAACGAGGAGAGCAAGGTTTTGGGAGTTGAGTATCTTGTCCAAGGTTAGCAAATGAGAAAGTCAGGATTTGAACCCAGGTTCTCCTGGCTACATGGGTCACACTCTTTCCATTAAATCATACTAGCTCTCTGGAAGGAAGGAAGGATATTTATTATACAATAACAAGCATGCAGATCATTATTTGTGTTTTTGCTTGGTTGTTATTTTCTAGCAAATCTTCTCTAGCTATATGTACTGGATTGCTGTATTTTTCATCCTGTAGATTTCTGAGCCTGAAAATGATTAGCTAGCCCTGGCCGGTTTGGCTAAGTGGTTAGAGCATCAGCCCACGGACTGAAGGGTCCTGGGTTCGATTCTGGCCAAGGGTGCATGTACCTCGGTTGCAGGCTTGATTCCCAGCGCTGGTTGGGGGTGTGTGCCGGAGGCAACCAATCGATGTCTCTCACATTGATATTTCTCATTCTCTCCCTCCCTTTCACTCTCTCTGAAAAAGCAATGGAAAAAAATGTCCTCAGGTGAGGATTAAAAAAAAAAAGATTAGCTATATGAAGTACTGAAAGATCAGATGTGTGCTGGGGTATCTGAATCAAATGGAGAGAAGGGCAGGACTAAAGAGAGTCAATATTTTTTATCATTGGTCTATAGTCAACATTAAATTACTATTTCTTGAGCTTCCTAAAACTGTAATTGAACCACTTCAACCACACCATTTTAAAATTTGGTATTAATTTCACCAAATAGGCTATAATTTTGGTAGCTGTCTGGGTAAAAGATTTATAATTTTGTAGACATAAGACTCTATAAATGTTTTATTATTTTACTCACTATTTGTTATTTGACTGATTTCCTGTCATTTTTCCCCTGCTTGTCACCACAGCCTCCATCCTGGTGCTCCTCCCGCTTTCCCCTCTCTCAGACCCTCTATCCTGACACTTTTCTCATTGTTTTGCTTCCTTAATTGACTTAAAAGTACAGGTCTTATGCTAACTTATAAATTAATAACATTGACATTACCTTAATATAATGAAACATCTGAATTAAAAAGTCATTCCTGGAATCTTCAAGAATAAGGGTGCACCCCATGTTGGAAGTAGTATTGTGAAGGTCAAAAATAACGTCATAGGAATCTTCACTGTCTTTTGGACCAAATAAATGATTTATTTCTTGAGCCCTTCTCACTTCATATGGCAAATCCTCTGACATTGTTTTGCTGTTATTAGCAAAAAGAAAAACATTAAAAATATCTGTGGCCAATATAACACAAATATACAATAAGAACACAGTACATAAGGAACCAGTTGCCAAACCGNAAAGAAAAACATTAAAAATATCTGTGGCCAATATAACACAAATATACAATGAGAACACAGTACATAAGGAACCAGTTGCCAAACCTTTAACATGAAAAACCTGCGAGGGAAGCAGAACCTTATTAGAAAACTTTACAAATGAAAAATTACAATTTTTTCATTTGATTCTATGTAATGTTGTCTTGGCATGCTTGCAAATAATATTTCATTTATGTGGCTGTCAAAGGAAAGACATTTCAAAAAGAATTTACCATTTGACTTCAACTTCAAATAAAATTTACGTGCTGATTTAATCAACAGCTTTTTAGTACTGGGCTATGTGCACTGGGCTATTATGGGGTTAGATAATCAAATGCAACTTTTTTTTTGCCCTCTAGCTAATTCAGTGCATAAAAATAGTTAAGTTTGGATGATGTTCACATTATCTGATTAACTTTATAGACAAGTCTGTAAACCCTGAGAAAATGCAAAACTTTTGCAAATATGTGTTTTGTTTTTTTTTCTAGGATAAAGATTAATAGTTTTTATTGAATTCTGGAATGAGTCTCTACCGGTCCCCTTCCCTCTTCCGGCAATGGTTAGGATACATTTTTTTCTTACTGTACATGATGATGATTTAAACTTATTTTCCCTCATTAAACCATTCAACCATTTCTCTGTAATTCCATCTATGCATTTCTATTTCCTGACTATTTTTTGCTAGTATCCTCAAGGGACCTACAGTTTGCACCTGGGTAATTCCTGCTTGGAATATAATCAAGAAGATGGAGCAGCTGTTTTTTGGCCAGGGAGCAAAAAATCTGGGGACAAAAGCTGCATGCTAAGGATGGTGCAGTGGGCAGATAGAAGGAACCTGTGGCATTGATGATATTACCGAGCCTCTGCATCTCTGGACTTATTATTTGTGAAAAAGAAACCTTTATCTGGTTAAGCCACTGTCTTTACGTTTCTTTTATTTCATTTATATGGCTGTCATTCATTTATTCTATGAACATAAACATAGTTCCTAATGGATATATACAGTGTACAAGTGATGTGTTGTGGAATTGTGCACCTGAAACCTGCACAATTTTGTTAACCAGTGTCACCCCAATAAGTTCAATAAAAAGGAAAAAAAATTAAGTTAACTCATGAAACAACTCCATTAGATCCTCCCACTCCCAACTGATCTGCTTCTAATTCTCCCGCATATGAGCAAACCACTAGCCACCCAGTTGCTCAGCATCAATGTTTGACGTCTTAGAAGACAGTGGACACTTTTAGTTCTTGTGCCTGGAGTCCAGGTGCTAAGGGAGGGTCCCAGAGGGGAAAGCTGAAGGAAGAGGCAGGGGAAGATCCTAATGGGTGTGTCAGCCAAACTAAGTTACTTAAACCTATTCTGGATAAGAGATCTTTAAGACTTTTCAGCAGGGGAGAGACATGAGAAGATCTGCATGTTGCTGCATGGAGGCTACATGGAACACCTTCAGGAGGCTACTCCTACTGCCCACAGAAGAAATAAACCAAGGTAGTGAAAACGGAGAAGACTAGATTTGCAAAATATTTGCAATTATTCAATATTTGAGTAATTGGGAAGACTTAGTGGCCCAATAGACATGGAGGGGCGAGGAAGGAGGAAGGTTCCAAGGTGATTTTCACAGAGGATCTGGTGGGTGACATCCTGAGATGGCGAGTACAGGAAAAGTCACTAATCTGGGAAAGTAAGGAGAGGAGAAAGTCATTTTTAATTTACCTCATAAAGTTCCATAACCACCCTGAGAGAGAAATGTCTAGCCTCTGAACAGTGTTAAAATGTAAGAAGTAGAAGGTGAATTTAATTTAAAAGATTGTTCTCATAGAAATGCAGACTATTGTGTGGTCATAACAAGAAAACTCACCCTCGTCCATTTAAGAGTTATTTGGGAAGCTAACCTGTCACCTGGAAGAGTTATTCTTTGACAAATTCTTACTCATACTGTGAGTTAGTTAATAGCTATTTTAGGTGAATAGATAAATTTTCATTGTGTTAACATAACCCCAGCTGTGAAGATAAAGCATTTTTGAAATTAAAATTTATGCTGGTAAAAATACGATTTGATACACAAAAAATGACTAATGTATAATTTGCCCTGGAAAAAAATCTATCCCATAAAGTGAGGCATATCTGTACTAAAAGTAGTAACCAACTTTTGATCTGTGGCAAGATTATATTTAAGTAAATCTCTAAATTCAGATTAACCTTTATGAGAAAGTGAGTGCACAAAGCAGTGCTGTGTTAGTGCTTCCTGTCCCCGACTTATATCTCAGCTACTAGTCTGCCCACTCCTTAAGGGCAGAGACCATTTTTGCGCATAGCTTTGTAGTCCCACGATACCTGGCACAGGTAGATATTTAAAAATATTTTTAGATAAGTGAAAGAAGTGGTAAAAAGAAAATACTTAGAAACCTACATATCTACAATAGTAGCTATACTGATGTAAACAGAGGCAAAAATAATTAGTCAGAACATACCTACAGTGCTATGGTTCGATACTTTCATGACACAACTATTAACCAAAACATAACACTTTCCTTAACTAGAACTTTATGCGCTACCATAAATATAGTTGCACAAAACCATAGCAGCGAATCACTTAGAAAGCTAACGAATGCATCTGCACCCAAGCATAGTGACCAAACACTAGTTTAATGCAAAAGACTATTAATTCTGTTTCTTTAAAGATAGATTTAAAAAATAAGAATATTTGTTACTTGTTTCAGTCTGTATAGAATACATTTAAAAAGAAAATCAGTTAAGAACAGTCTAATGCTGAAAAAGGTTTAGAAAAGAGCACGAATGCTCTTTTAGAGAAATGAATGAATCCTAACGGAGCGTGATTAAAAGTGAAAGTGACCCTAGTCACAGTAGAGACTATATGTACAGACATGAACAGCACATACATATACATATGTGTGTTCTCTCCCACACATACCACTTTTCACACCCATACACGTGCACATGTGCACGCACACAACACAATATATAGTCTTACCCAAGATTTTCGGGGTCAAAAACTCGATTCAGGTCACAGTCAACGTATCTGGTACACTTCTTCACTGCTCTGGGGTTGGTGATAAACGGTTTTACCTCCAGTCCTGTTCTCTGAATCTCAGCACCATTCTCTAGCCAGTGCTTAACTAGAAATACTCCTGTTAGCTCATTCCCATGCGTTCCTCCAAAGATAGCAACCTTCTTTATGGGGTCTTCAACAACAGGATGAGAAGTCATTTTACCAAGGAATTTTATCTGGTTCCTGCAATTCAGAAGAGAGGAGGTCAAAGAAAACTTCCTTCCTTAAGAAAAGTTTAGGTATTTAAATCTAAATGAGACTTTAACCAAAGTGCAAAGTGCAGAGGTCTCTTGAGTGGAGTGTATTTTAATTTGCAGTTACAAGTCCTGAGCCCTGTTTATTATAGGGGCACTCCCTTCTTTAGCCCTGCCCTTTACCATATTTGGATCAAAATATGCAGAGACCAACTAGAGTTACAGCTGTTTACTTTAACTTCTAACTCCCTCACATGGTTGGTAGATCTAAATGCAGTAATAAATTAGCGTCTCATACTAATACAAAAGTTGTGTTTTGTCTTCAGCTAGAATGCCGTCTAGTGGTGCTTTCATGACCATTCGTAGTAGTAAGAAGTTTATACTTTTCTAATCCTCAAAAATAAAAAAGGTGGCCCATAATATGCATATTATTATTCAATATTTATAATCCCTACTTGTGTTTAGAAACATTTCTTCTCTGAAATGAGTTCAGGTACTTTTCCTCAGCTGAAGGCATTTGAATCTCATCTCTATAAACAACCGAAGGCAGATCCTCAGAGACTTCCTCTGGAACTGGCATCCTTTCTTTCAGACTGTTTTTTTTTTGTTGTTGTTTTTTATGGGCAGAGACACAAGAACCAAATCAATGATCACTGGGACTGAAAAAGCTACTTTGAAACATGCCTTTAATTTCTTTTTCATGAAGTTTTTGGAAATAGTGTCAAATTCCCTAGGTATTTTTCTCACTTTCTTGCCTCCATGCTAAAGAAAAAGCAACTGTTAGTAATTTTCAAGTCGTTGTAATGCCTAAAAATGTCTTGGGGTGTGCTTTATATAACAACCAGGTTATATGAGTTTATGTACACAGTCAGCCTAATTTACTTGGCAGCATAAACTCTCCACTGGAATGTGTTACTCAAGAGGGGGTCTTACTAGGGGAAAGCAGCCAGAACACTAAGATGGCTTATATTCCTTTGGAGAAATGATTCTGAACCAAATCCGATTTGATTTCATGCTCAATCATCCAGAAAGTCAAGTGCGTTCAAGTACCGAAAAGACTGTGTGTACTAGTAATGCCAGATTGTTTGCTAGAGGTGCAACAAGAGTAATTCATAACTGCAGGGTAGTTTAATCTGCAATGTTTTTCTGCATATGTTATCTCAGTTTATTCACCCAGCCACTTTCTAAGATAGGAGGTGGTAGGTACTGACACCACCGTTACAGGGGGAAAGAGAAGTTAAGTAACTTGATTAAGGTTCTGCAGCCACCAGGAGAAAACCAGGCCTGAGACCCAGTTTTCTGATTTTAAGTTCAAGTTCAGTGCTTTTCCCAGAACAATAGGGTGCTTCCTGTTAATTCTGGCCTTCCCCAAAGTTCCAATTTTGCTCTTTTGGAATTCACATAAACAGTCACTACAGTGTGCCCAAGAAACAAACGAGCATACAAACAAAATACATGATACAAATATAAAACGTGATACTTCCAAAACATTTAACAAATCAATTCCTATGTTCTTCCTTTAAAAGATTATAATGTAGAGACAGTGAAAGCAAAATAATAACATCTAAATTTATATTAAAACGGCTGTCCTAACCTAAAGTAAAAGCCCCTGTAGCCTTTGATTTTCTACCCACATCAATGCACACTTGGACACTTCAGTGTAGAGAGGCTGAAAACGAGCATAAATATAAACAGATGACAGTCATGTTGTTTAGTTACTTTGGTTTTTAAGAGCCGTAACTATGGTGAATTATTAACACTTGATTATATTTTGTTTGTTTTTTTCCTGCCGATGTGTGATTTGTTCTGTCCTTTGCCCTAGTCTTTCTGGAAATGCTGCTTCAGTGATTTACTCACAGTTGGCACAGATAACTCATATTTTGAGACTTGTTCTATGGATTTTAACAGACCAGCACTTTGAATCCCATTTAACATTTACAAGTAAAGTTTCCCTTACATACAAAAATGAATAACTTTTTTGATAGTTAATAAATTCCAGTAAATCTGTCCCATACTTACCTTTTCTGTCGAGCACAGAGTTTGTCTTCTGTGGAAAGCTCTATTAGAAAAAAGGAGAGCATTTCCTTAGAGCTAGAGCAAGAGGCTTTTCATACTCTTGATACCAAGTTAACTTCCGAAAGATTTTAACTCCCTGCTTCCCAAAGCACACTACATTTTTGAGACCCACAAAAATCACATTTTAAAAAATTAGCCGAGTTATTTTTAGAAAGTTCAGACAGCAAACAGTATACAGAGGGGAACCCTTTCTAGTTGTCACAATCTCACTATGAGGTTGACTAATGTTTTGAAGTACTTAAAAGAATAAGCCTAGTAACTTCTAGCACTACCAATGTTTTGTGGGGGTGGTGGTGTCTGATTTATTGGTAAAGTAATGTAGTTTAAAACAAAGGGAGAGTCAACATTTTATAGTACTGGCTGTGCAATAGATTCAATGTCAGAATTTTGTTGGAGACAAGTCTCAGGTGGGACTGTTTCCAAAATAGTATGACTGAGCGATAAGGAGTATCTTCTCACCGATATTATATGTAAGGTACCTTATATATCACGTGGTGGTCTAGCAGTCACGTGACCCAACTATTGTCACTATTTTAATTTTCTTCTTCCCCTATGGCTCTTTTGCTGTTACCATTCTGACCAACTTTCTAGGTGGAAATAAACAATAACCAGAACAAGAGAGGGGTAGGGTAGGTATGTTTACAAACTGCTAGCAAAGTTTCCACATTGCTCATGCCTGCATTCCTTACAGATACAGTACAGGATGTTGTTCATAGTGGGTTTATAGTTTCCTTTTTTTTTTTTAAAGTGTTTTAAAATCGATTTTAGAGAGATAGGGAGAGGGAGGGAGAGAGAAACATCCACGAGAGAGAGAGAAACATTGATCAGTTGCCCCCCTGCACACCCCCAACTGGGCATCAAGCCCACAACCCAGGCGTGTGCCCTGGTGGAGAATCGAGCCAGCAGCCTCTTGGTGTGTGGGACAGTGATCATCCAACTGAGCCACACTGGCCAGGGCTATAGTTTTCTTTTTAATGAAATCTCTATTTTGGGGTTGGGGGGGGTAGGTGGGTGTTGTGTGTGCATGTCTATATTATGTATACTCATATGTATGTTATCAGGTTACAATAGGCTTCCTTGAAGTTTCTACTCGTGTATTTTCTAAAAGTCTCCTCTCTGGAACCATCACTAGTAACAAGTCTTTTTAGACACTTTGTTTCAAGTCTTCTTTTTTCCAGATTAAACGAATACTCCGTTTCTTCAAACTTATTCTGCCGTTTGGCATCCAAGGTTCCGTATTGGCTGGTCTCCGCCTGCCTCTAACCCTGCCTTTGGAACCCTAGCCTCTGTTGGATCTCATCTTCAGAGAAACGGCTCCTCCATCTCTCTCCCCGGATCACAGCCCTAGGCCTTTACTGACAACCTCCCCTCTAATCTCTGGGCCCTCCGCTCCTCTTCCCTTCACCTGCCCCCCTCTTCAAATGGCTGGAAGGCACGGGAACAACAAAACATGGTCCTTGAATCCAGACAGACCTAGCATCACTAACCCTGGCCTCTGGTAAGAACCCAGTAGATGGCAGCTACTGTTACTACACAAGGACTAACATTTATAGAGCATCTGCTGTGTGCCTGGGCTGTCCATTTTCTCTTTTAATGCTTTCAGGGCAGCTAAGTAAACATTGTATCGCTCTTTTAGTGAGAAGGGAAATGTAGGTCTAGAGGGGGTAAATAACTCGCTCAAGATCAAAGGGCCAGGAAAAGAAACAGAATGGTGCCATGACCCACGGGCATCTGGTGGGCGAGGGCCAGAGGTAAGGGTCACAGGTAAGGGTGACGGCACCATTCTGTTTCTTTTCCAGGTCCCGGGCCTGTGAGGCTCGTGGGCTCTCCCCCTCCTGAGCTCCTGCGGCACTGGCCCTGCCCCGCTGACCGCTCTCCACCCTGCAGGGCTGTGGCCTAAGCCCAGGCCTCAGCTCTCCCGCCAGCCCCCCTGGTGACCGCTTCCCTCATGGTTGTGACCCAGAAACTCAGCCAGGCCAGGCAAGACCTTATGACCTGGTTTCTACGGCCAAGCCAGGGACCTCTGGGTCATTCTCCTCCAGGCACATTCGGGTTTGCCACCAGCATCTTACAGACTGATGTCTAGAACCTAATCAATGACCCTCGGGTGTGGGCAGGGGGGTGGGCAACCAGCCCTGACACACTTTTCTGACAAATCTGGGGCGGACCTGGCTGGCTGCGCAGATCTGCCATCGCCTCACCGGTGACTAGAACAGGACCGTCCTTCTCTGGGCAGAACTATGAAAGAGGTAGAGCCACCGCTGCGCCTCGTACACCACAGCGTGTGGACAGAAGAGAAGGCATGTTGACGTTATGGCGACTGGAAAGGGAGGGGCGATGCCACTGTGCGCATGCCCCAAGGTGGTGGCCTCTGCGCCTGCGCGGGGGGGGGGTTGGGGGGCGCTGGCCTGCGGCAGCGCGGTCTAAAAGGCGCCTGCGCAGGTTTGAGACGCGCCTGCGCAGAGCTGGACTTCCCGCGCTTTTGAGGCAGCGGACTGGGTAGTCTCCGCGACCGTTGACTGAGGCGGCCATTGACTGAGGCGACGGAACCTGAGGGCAAAAGTTGCGTGTGGTGTTGGTACGAGAGCCAGGAAGGGAAAGATTGTGTTGTCGCTAGTCTCCAAACTTCCCCGTGCCCTGGGTGAGGAGAGAATGTTGGAAGAGAGCATGAGCCCTGATTGGACGCGCCCCCCTCCCCACGAGGGGACAAAGTAGGCCTCCTGGCCTCCCTGTGATGCAGTGGTCTTTGGGGGCGGTGTGTGTGTGTGTGTGTGTG